ATTTTTTAAGCTAAAGGTTATGTATAGCTGTCATCTATTAGTCTTTGAGCCAGTGTGGTGTAGTGGTTAAGAGCGGTGGACTCGTAATCTGGTGAGCTGGGTTTGCTTCCCCACTCCTCCACATGCAGCTCCTCACAGGGTGTCTGTTGTGGGGAAGGAAGGGGAAGGAGATTGTTAGCTGCTTTGAGACTCCTTAAGGGGAGTGAAAGGTGGAATATCAAGTCCAAACTCTTCTTCCAAACTCTTTGTAATAGTGACATTTCCCATAAATATGCTGAGACACAACCGAATAATGTTATAGATTTCAATGGGATTCATGGAAGGGCCAAGTTTATTCTGCAGTTTAAATGAATGGGGCATGGAAGTGCTTAACTGGTTCTTGAGCAGGGCCAAAACCTGGGGGAAGGAATCTTCAGTCTCTGTAGCAAACAGCAGGCACAACAACATTTTGTATCGAATGCAGAGCCAGTTCTTCTCATAAGCAAGCAAGGGGGCCCCCTGAGGTGCTGGATGCACCACTAGAACTGGCGGCATGGTGTGAGTACCAAGGTTGGTTTTGCTCTCTGCATTTTTCCTGAAGTTGTTGAGCTGTGAAAATCATGTCCGCTGTCCCCCTAGAAGGCTGAAAACCATTTTGGGATTCAGGAATGGTCACCTCGGATAATGTTAAGAGATGGTTTGCTAAGATCCTTGCAAGAATTTTGCCGGCCACAGCTAATAGAGAGATGCCGCAATAGTTTCTGCAATCAGTTCTGTCACCTTTTAAAAAAAGAGATTGATAATTTCGGCATCCCTGAAGTCTGCTGGGATCGCTTCTCTCTCCCAGATTTTTTTGATGAGCTTGTGAAGTTGTTGTGTAAGTTCAATTCCACCCACTTTGAAGATTTCAGCAGGTATCCCATCAGGTCCACTGGCTTTGTTGTTTTTCACTTGGTTAATAGCTGTGCACAACTCTCCCAGATTTGGAGATACTGCAAGCTCATCTCTAATTTGTTTTTGCGGGATTTGTGAGAGGACCTCAGCAGCTATGGGGGAGTTGCGGTTAAGGAGATGTTGGTAGTGCCCTTTCCAGCACAGTGCAATAGCTTCTTTATCTTTTAGAAGTGTGGTACCATCTGCTGAGCGTAGGGGGCATATGCCATGATTTATTGGTCCATAGATGGTATTTGTGGCTTTAAAGAAACTCTGTGCATCATGAGTGTCGGCTAAGTGCTGGATCTCTTGAGCTTTTTTTATCCACCAGGTTTGTTTTAGTTCTCTGGTTCTTAGCATTGGCATAGGGGTTTTTTCTTAATGGCAAAGTTTCTTTCTCTTTGGCAGATCTGAAATGCCTTCCTTTTCTTGTCAATCATGCGTTCAATCTCACTGTCATTCTCATCAAACCAGTCCTGGTGTTTCCTGGTTTGGTATCCAATAGTTTGTTCACAGACTTCAATAATGGATGTTTTTAGCTTGGTCCAGTGTTCCTCGATGTTATCAGGGAATTCTGAAAGCAGATGGTCCTTAAGAGTCGTTTGGAAGCAATCCCGCTTAATGGGATCTTGAAGGGCTTGAGTGTTCATTTTGCGCCTTGGTTTTCTTCCCTGAAGCCTGCGTTGAGGTATAATCTTGATAGCCATCGTGGAGCATATTAGTCGGTGATCTGTCCAGCAGTCGTTGGCGCTCATCATTGTTCTGGTAAGGAGCACATCACGTTGATCTTTAGCATGGACAATAACATAGTGTAAGAGGTGCCAATGGTTTGACCGAGGATGCCTCCATTAAATTTTAAATTTATTTTTCGGTCAAAAGAGTGTGTTGGTAATAACAAGGTTGTGCGCTGCACATATTGTCAAGAGCAAGATTCCGTTCTGGTTGCTGTTGCCAACTCCTTCTTTCCCAATAGTCCTAGGCCACAGATTGAAATCTCCCCCAACTCTTGCATTAAAATCACCCAGGAGGATAATTTTATCTTTCTTAGGCATCTCTGATAGGACGGTATCCAACTGAGAGTAAAATTTTTCTTTCATGTCTTCATCGGCATCCAGTGTTGGTGCATAACCGCTTACAATAGTAGCCTGTTGGTTTTGGGTGAGCTTTATTCGAAGGGTTGAGAGCCGCTCATTAATGCCAGTAGGGACTTCTGACAGGAGCTTCACAAGGTCATTTTTTATAGCGAAGCCTACCCCATGTATTTGATGTTCTTGTTCAGATAGACCTTTCCAGAAGACTGTGTAGCCTCCTTTTTCTTCCTTCAGTTGTCCCTCGCCTGCTCTTCGAGAGTCTTGAAGCACTGCAATAGTGATGTTAAAACGTCACAGCTCTCTTGCAATGATGGCAGTTCTGCGTTCAGGATGCTCACTGTCTGTGTTATCTGACAAAGTCCATATATTCCATGTTCCAAAGTTTAATTGTCTTTTACGACCCCTGGGTGGTGACCCCACTGGGCCCGGCAATCTAGTCAGGGAAAAGGGGAGGCAGACTATGTTTAGGGCACCATTTCCAGCCCCTCCCCCTTTTCGGGGTGAAGAGAGTGGATCCTAAAAAGGGCTGCTCAGTCATGGATACAGCTGCCGAGCTGCTCAACTGCCTCATTCCTTGAGTCAGAATAACTGAATCTGTATCCACCGCCCATGTTTCGATTCATAACTAGGGGCTTCCAGATTTCACATTCCTGCCCCTGTAGCCATTTGCTGATCGCCGTTGGGGGGTTGGGTTGGGTTTTTGGAAGACGCCTGTATGTTAATTTGTTTTATGTGTGAAGATCAGTGCACGCTGACCAATGCACAGTCTTCGCAGTAGGGCTGTGTTCCGATGGCATGAGGTAGTCACGACAAACTGGTAGATTCCTATCTGCTGCAGCCTTCATCTGCCTTCACAGCCATTGTAACACACCGCTTGTTATCATCCGCCTGTTCTGCCGTTGAGGACTTCTTGGATCATTCTTTGTCTAGCTCCTTCCCTGTTATGTACTAAGCTTGGATCCTAGAACAATAGGCAAGTAGGATCCTAGAATGCAAGAACTGATTGGCTTGCAGGAAAAGACCAATCAGGCTCCAGGAGGGAAGCAGAATCAGCCAATCAGACGGGACTCATTGTGTAAATAATGTATATAAAAGCCTGAGGTTTGGGGGGAAATTCAGTCACTGTTTTACAAGCTGCAATAAAGTGCATGAAATCACTACAGGACTCTGAGCATATTTCATTTTCTTTGACCTTACAGCCTTGGGTGACCCTGCTGGGAGTACGAGATTCCCGACGGCTTCGCTCACAAGGGTCATAGGAATGTGCAAGCCCACTCACCATGACAAGTGAGAGAACTGAGATAGATTGCACTGAGCCCTGGTTTCATTAGACAAAGCGTTCCACCAAAAAGGCTCTGGCTCTTCTTGAGGACAGCCGGATATGTTTTGGGCCAGGGACCACCAGTAGGTTGCTGTTAGATGAGCGTCACACTCATGGGGGGTGTATTGGGAGGTCACAGACTGTTTAGGGCTTTAAAGGTTAGCACCAAAACCTTGAACCTGACTCGATACTCCACCTGGAGCCAATCCAACTGATGAACAACCAGCTGAATGTGGGCTCTCCACAAAGTCCAAGTAAGAACTCATGCATCTGCATTCTAGACCATTTGGAGTTTCTGGAGCAGTCTAAAGGGTAGCCCTGCATCTCTCTCTCTCTCTCTCTCTCTCTCTCTCTCTCTCTCTCTCTCTCTCTCACACACACACACACACACACACACATTTATACCCTGCCCTCCCCGGCTCAGGCGTAGAGCAGGTTAAAGTAGTCTAGTCTGCAGGTGACTGCTGCATGGATCACCATGGCTAGGTTGGAAACGGACAGGTACGGTACCAATCACCTAACCTGACATAGATTAAAAAATGCCTGTTTGGCTACATTTGTGACCAATGCCTCCATAGAGACAGAAGCATCCAGGATCACACCGGGACTCCTGATGGCGGCTACAGGTGACTATTGCGCCCCATGAAGAGCTGGGAGCTGGCAAACTGAACCAAAATCATTGCGGCCCAGCCATTGGGCCCCCATCTTTAATAATAATAATAATTATTTATACCCCGCCCTCCCCAGCCAAGACCGGGCTCAGGGGGGCTAACAACCAATAATAAAAACAAGTTGATTAAAATACAATTTAAAAAACAAGATTAAAATACAACATTAAAACATTAGGATGCAGCCTCTTCAATGGATAGAAATTCAGCCGACTCCGTTTCCTCCATCCCAGTACACGGACCTAAAAATTGGCCAATATATCCAGGGTAGCATCTGGCCAGGGCCACGAAGCAGTAGATCCATGATGTTTGTGGTCAGATCTGTGGTTATGTACAAGATATTTGAATAAAGGGTGAATTTGGGGTTCCCCAATGCAAAAAGAGTGGTGATCCATGAGGATCCGTGCTTCAGAACTACGTTTTTGGGCCATGGCGTTGCCAGGAAGCCATGGATCCAAGTTTTCTGTAGTGCAGGCTGTGCCCCTGGCTATGATGTGTGATTTGACAGTGAGTTTGGGTTGGCCCAATGCAAAAAGCGTGAGGATCCATGAGGATCCGTGCTTCAAAGCCAAGTTTTTGGGCCACGGTGTTGCCAGGAAACCGTGGCTCTGTGATTTTTGTGGTGCATGCTGTGCCCATGGCCATGATGTTTGATCTGATGGTGACTTTGGGCTGATCTAGTGCAAAAATCATGAGGATCCATGAGGATCCTTGTTTTTTAACCATGCTTTTGCACCCCTGTGGCCCCACAAAACAGTGGATGCATGATTTTTTTTTATTCTGCCTACAGAGTAAGGCATGGTCTACAGTATCATGGTGGTTTTATTTAATTTGAACAAAAAAATCATATGAATTCATGAGAATCCGTTTAAAATCAGCTGGATCCACCTTTTACCCTTTTCTGGTCTAAATACCGGTATCTTCCTTGGCTACGGGCTTCTTCTAAGGAAGCCCAACACACACACAGAGAGAGTCTATGTTGGGTGTTTTTGTATGCGTGTCTAAATCCCCTGGGATAGCTCAGTTGGGAGAGCCCAAGACTCTTAATCTTAGGGTTGTGGGTTCGAGTTCCACCTTGGGCAAAATATTCCTGCATCGCAGCGGGTTGGTTTAAATGACCCTCGTGGTCCCTTCCAGCTCTATGATTCTATGAAATCCGGAATAATAGTTGGCTTTGGCTCTGTGCTAATAATCAGGCGCTTGGAGATGGGTGCCTGCTCTACCCGGACCATTTTGAAAGAAGTGATCCTGAAATATACTCAGAGTCGCAAAGTGATTTCATGCTCTTTATTCAGCTCATAGTGGTGAGGAGGAATGAAGAAGAAGAAGAAGAAGAGTTTGGATTTGATATCCCGCCTTTCACTCCCCTTCAGGAGTCTCAAAGCGGCTAACATTCTCCTTTCCCTTCCTCCCCCACAACAAACACTCTGTGAGGTGAGTGGGGCTGAGAGACTTCAAAGAAGTGTGACTGGCCCAAGGTCACCCAGCAGCTGCATGTGGAGGAGTGGAGACTCGAACCCGGTTCCCCAGATTACGAGACTACCGCTCTTAACCACTACACCACACTGAATGAATGAAAGTCCCCTCAAAGTATCTGCTTTATATACATTATTTACACAATGGGCTGCACATGATTGGCTAATTCCGGAATTCTACTGTAAGCCAATCAGGTTGTGGATTCACTCCTATCTGGAGCATGATTGGGTGGTTCCTGCCAACCAATCATACTGCTGCATTGTTCTAGGACCAATCAGACTGCTGCATTCTGAATCCTATTGTTCTAGGACCAATCAGACTGCTGCATTTTGGATCCTATTGTTCTAGGACCAATCAGACTGCTGCAGTTTGGATCCTATTCAACTCAGTACATAACACCCCTCCCCTCTAAGTTCCAGTCCTGCCCGGGAGGTCGCATTCATAGTCCTCAAGGTACGCTGGCGGCCTACGTGTGTGTTGCGGCCTGGGGTGTTCCCTGGTCCGGGGTTCAGGTTCTGGCTCGTGTTCCAAGGATGCTGGCTGTGATGGGGCCGTTTGGTCTGGCGCAACCGGCTCGCTCAGTCATGGTTCTGGTTCCGGTGTCCTTTCGGCCTCACAGGTCCTCTCTGTATTTACTGATTCTGCCTCTCCTGCTGGCCCCTCCTGCTCTATGGGCCTCACTGTCCCACTGTTCCCTTGGGACTCCTCTGACCTGTCCTCCTCCTGGTTTTCTCCCGGGAATCGTTGCCATATCTGGTCGCAGTGGCGGCGCCAGCACTGCCCCCCATCCGTTAGCACCTTGTACGACACAGGGCCAGTGACCCTGGTGACTGTGGCGGGTACCCATGCTGGGCCTGCCCCAAAATTCTTTGCATACACTGGGTCCTGGGCCTCGAAGGTCCGGGGGTTCCTGCCTTCCCCCACCACTACCTCATCCTGAGCTCTATCTGGGTGAAGGTGGTCCAATCTGATTGCAAGGCGCCGACCCATGAGTAGTTCAGCGGGGCTCCGGCCAGTCATTGAGCTGGGGGTGCTGTGCTGTGCTAGAAGGAATGTGGCAAGGCAGTACTCCCAATCCCCTTGCGTCATGCGGCGAAGGGTGTCCTTGGTGGTCTGCACCATGCGTTCTGCTTGGCCATTGGTGGCAGGGTGGAATGGCGCCGAACGGATGTGGCGGATGGCGTTCTGCTCTGTGAAGGTTTGGAATTCTCCTGACGTAAATGCAGTCCCGTTGTCTGAGACGAGAGTGTCAGGGAGCCCCTGGGGTGCAAACAGCCTGCGTAGTACCCGGATGGCTGCGGACGTAGAAGTGGACGGTACCAGTGCGACTTCCAGCCATTTGGTGTAGGAGTCCACCACTATGAAGAATGTTTTCCCCTGAAAGGGGCCAGCAAAGTTCACATGCAGGAGTGACCATGGTGCTCGGGCGGACTCCCAGGACTGGACTGGGGCCCTTGAGGGATCTGGGCGGGATTATTGGCAGGCCTGGCAGTGTTTGACCCAGGCCTCTATCTCTCCATCGATCCCCGGCCACCACACATAACTCCTGGCAAGGGCCTTCATTCTTACTGAAGCATGTGAAAGTATAGTCGGTACCCACTTAGAGTGAACAAGGATCAGGCAGACACAGCTTTGGAGAAAAAGAAGGTGAGGTTTTATTGCTGAGCAATAAGGACCCAGTGGAATCTCTTCCAAAGAACTGGGACCCCGAGAAACAGAAATCCTGAGGTCTTTATACCTGAGCAAATCACAGCAAATCACAGATCATGAGACAATCATGAGACAGTCACGAATCGCCAGCGAAAATTAACCAATTAGAGTGCTTCTTGCCATGCTCACGGCTCCTGGTCAAGCGCAGAGTTCTACTTCTGCTTTCCGTTCCCTGCAATGATGCGCTGTCTAACCTTTCCCCTAGTTCTGACAGAACAGGGAGTTTTGGAGTTTTTGTGGTTTAGCTCTTCCTGTTCTGTGGATTAATTTAGCCTGTATTTGAGGGGATTTTGTACCAGTGTCTCTGATTCATGTCTTCCCCTTGTTCAGGGTACAAGGATGTTTTCTAGGGGAAAGGTCAGTTCTAAATTGCTGTTCCAAGCAGTTTGCAATTAGCTAAGGCAAAAGCTTTCCTTTGATTCAAAATGGATTATAAAAATACTGTAAGCCCTGATTATATGTGAGCATATATGAATATATTGATTACTGATAACTGATTATATGAATAGCATAAGGGTAGCCCTTCTTTCCTTGCCTCATTCCCCCCTTTTCAAGCTCAGAGAGAAGATTCATCCCCTTGTGGGCCGACAGTTCATGTTTGCGGGTTGTGTAGCCGGCGAATTCTGGCCCGGGGCTGCTGCTGGGCCATCCCCTCCACACCCAGTCCAGGACCCGGGAGATGACCCTATCTTTCTTGGAATGGTGTGCAACTTCTTGTGCCTGAATGGGGCGGTCGGGAAGCAGCTCCAGGCTCATAACCTCTTGTGCAGGTGCTGGCTCGGGGCCTGTTTCCGGTAGTGGTAGCCTGCTGAGGGCATCCGCATGGCCCATCGCCTTCCCAGGGCGGTGAATCAGTGCATACTGGTAGCTGGCAATGAAAATTGACCACCTGAGGACTCGAGTAGACAGCACTTGGGGGGTCTGCTTTTCGGGGGCAAACAAGCCAAGCAACGGCTTGTGGTCAGTCACCACGGTGAAGGGCCGCCTGTACAAGAAATCATGGAATTTTGTTACTCCCTTCACGATTGCCAGACCCTCCTTGTCAATTTGCGAGTAGTTCCGCCCAGTTGCGTTGAGTGTCTGGGAAAAGTATGCCACCGGTACCTCTCTTCCATCCGGGCGTTGGTGTCCCAGGACAGCGCCAATGCCATAGGGCGAGGCGTCGCATGCTAGCACCACTGGCAGCCTCTCGTCGAAGTGTGCCAAGACCGAGTTTGAGACAAGCAAGTCCTTGACTGCCTGGAATGCGGCCTCCTGGCACTGGCCCCACACCCAAGGGGCCCACTTGTCCAGGAGTCTGTGTAGGGGCTCCGCTACCGCCCCCTTGTGGGGAAGGAAGGAATGGTAAAAGTTCAATAGTCCCAAGAAGGCCTGAAGTTCAGTCTTGCTCTTGGGCACCGGGGCATTACAAATGGCCCGTACCTTGTCCCCAGTCGGGTGGACCCCTTCTGCGTCCACCATAAATCTCAGAAAGTCCACCTGAGGCACTCCTAGTAGACATTTTCCCCACTTCACCTTGAGACCCGCAGTCTGGAAACGGTGCAGAACGGTGCGGAGGCGGTCCTCAAACTCCTCTGGTGTGGGCCCGGCAATCAACACATCATCGAAGAAGGGGGTGACGCCAGGAATCCCTTTAAGGAGAGAGCCCATTAGATTCTGGAATATGCCTGGTGCCACACTGACACCAAATTGCAGCCGCTTTACCCTGAACGCTCCTCTGTGCGTCACAATCGTCTGTGCCTCTGCTGTGGCCTCATCTACTGGCAGCTGTTGATATGCTTGGGCCAAGTCCAGCTTGCCAAAAATTTTTGACCCCGCCAGGGTGGCAAGTACATGACTGACCACTGGCACTGGGTATGCGTGGGCCGTGAGGGCCTTGTTTATGGTACATTTGTAGTCTGTGCAGATGCGGACCGAACCATTAGGCTTGACGGGTGTGACGATTGGGGTTTCCCAGGGGGCATTAGGCACCGGCTCCAGCACTCCTTGCTCCATGAGCCGGTCCAATTCCTCGTCTATACGGGGTTTCAGGGCGAACGGGACCCGGCGGGCCTTGAGCCTGACCGGTCGTACTGCGGGGTCAAGCTGTAGAGCAATGGGGGGGCCCGTATACTGTCCCAATTTCCCATCGAAAACCCCCGGAAATTCCTTGCATATGGCGTCCACGTCCACTTGTAAGCTGGTTTGGTTCACCCCGGTGACGGCTAGCCCCAGTGGTCCAAACCATGCCAATCCCAGTAGGCTAATGTAGGGGCCCTTGACCACAAGCAAGTCCAGTTGCCGCGTCCGCCCTCGGTATTGCACCCTGAAGGTCCCCACCCCCATTGTGGGGACCTTACGTTTCTGGAAGTCCCGGAGGGTGAATGGGGCCTGCCTGAGTTTGGGACCCCCAGTAGGACACAGTTTCCTTAAGGTCCTTGCCGAGATTATGGATAGAGTTGAACCCGTGTCAAGCTCCATGCGGCATGGGGCCCCCTCTATCTGTACCTCTACATAAATTTTCTCTACGTTGGGGTGGGGCAACTGGTATACCTGGAAGTCCGTGAGCTCCGTTGAGTTGCCTTGGTGCGTTGGGCCCCGGGACCTGGGGCTCTTGGATTGGTCATCTGATGCCTGGCATCGGGTGGGCCGAGCCCGACACACCCGGGCGATGTGTCCCGATTTTCTGCACTGCCTGCACTCTGCATTGTGGAAACGGCAGGTCCTCCTCTCGTGACTTTCCCCGCAGCTTGCGCAGTTCCCTCCTTCTCGTCGAGGCACCTGTGGTATGTGGGCTGCTTGAGTGCGCTGCTGTACTCGGTGCACCTCCTCCCTGTCGGATCCTGAGTCGTCGGTGAGGTCTTCGTGGTGGACCCTCGGTTGGGACGGCAGGCTCGGTCGTGCCTCTTGCGTCGAC